TAGAGCATTACTATTACCAACTGATGGACCAGCAGACATCTTAAAACTGATTAATAGATTTTTATATAAATGCTTTTGCTTCCTTTTTTGCTTTTAGTTTCAAGTATATTAAGAAAGAAACTAGTTTCAATCGGATCATATTCTATTGGTTTATATAGTGGATGAATAACAATTTTCAAAGTAAATCTTTCGTTGTATTGAGACTGATAATTGCTGACATCTAGTTTTGTCAAAGTGTAAAACATAGTCATTACTCTATTAACACATTCGCTATAATGCTACTGAATCATTGTCAACTATGCAATAAATTAGAAATAGAAGAAAAACAAAATGAAGAAACAGCAATTTCCTTCTTTTCGTACAAGATTCATTCATGAGTCACTTAGTGCATCAATGAAGCGAGTTTAGATTTTAGTCATGTCGCGACAGCAGTAGATTTCCAGTCATGATAGATATCTCTGATAAACAAGTGTTTATCAATCTATCGTCTTTCGACATACTTATTGTTAAATATATTAAAAGCATTAAAGTTAGCTAAAAATTAAACGCAGTATAGCATCACATCCGAATTCATACATAAATTCATTCTTGTTGTGGTAGAATGGCAATGAATTACGCCTAAGAAAAATATGTTAGAAAAAGAGTTTGTTCAAACAAAACAAATCAGGATCACTATATTCGTTATTATCTACTACAACGATCATCGCAAAAGAAATCTGCATCGGTGAAATTCTTATTATCTACTTAGGGCATATCAAAAGTAGTATTGTTATTGTCTTATTTTCATACAGAAAGCTTAAAGAAATTTTGCTTTTATATGTAGTGATAGAGAAGACGATGCTTGATTTTTCTGTGCTAGTTGATCACTCTTCAACAAACATCAGAATAATACAATATTAATATGAACTGCTTCTCTATCCATATGTAACGTTTATACTGATGCCTATCAGGCAAGTGAATCTTCTTTGAATACCTTTTAATACAAACAAGATAGAGAGAGGAGCAATTTTCATCGCTTAAAAGAGCGAACAACGACATGTCGAATAGTATATAACAGGCTTTTTTGACTTGGTTTTTCGAAGGTTTCCAGTTGATTTCTTTGGAAGCAAGCCTAATCCGTGAGGGTTTTCGAACGAATTTTAAATTTTCAGTTGCATATTCAAACTGTCAAAGAAAGACTTAAAAAACTACACAAGACCCACATATTTAGAATTAATCATTCAAAAGTTATAGGCAATGCACTCGAAGCTTCAAGTGATTTTCTTAGCGATTTTCATGAAAAATTGTACTTACTGTTTTTTGATGAAAAACGAATTTTTTCGACACTTAGAAAATTGATTAAGTAAACTTCAAACAGAACACTAGAAAAACGTACAATATACCATTCCATGCATCTTTATCTTCTTTTTCTAATGATGAAAACTGCAGCTCTCTATCTTGTTTCTATTAAAAGTTATTCGACAAAGATTCATTTCGTCCTAATAGACACTAGTATAAACATTACATATTGATAGAGAAGCAGTTTTTATCAAAATTGTATTATTATGATATTAGTTGACGAATGATCAAATAGCACAGAAAAATAGAGCATCGTTTTCTCCATCGCTATATAAAAATAAAATTTCTTCCAGCTTTCTGTACGAAAATAAGATCATGACGATACTACTTTTGGTATGCTCCAGGCAAGTCCTACTAAATGATACCAAATAACTATATCCTACTGGATTTATTCGAAATTTATTCTTTTATTAGACTTATTATACAAAACATCCAGATTTTCAAGTCCTACTAAATTCCACAACAGAAACAGCTATCGAAATTCATTGAAAATATCTAAACAAGTCTCGAAAAAATAATTCTTCAAGGCTACTAATCTTGTATCTTTATAGAATATCATTTTTCAAAATATAACCTAATTCAGTTTCTATGTGAATGAAAATAATCGATTTTTCTTATAAAATTACGAATAAAACTTGGCACTCTGTCCGATCAGAAGATTAAAAATTTTATCTATCTACAAATGAAAATTTTGAGGAAGAAATACAGAAAGCAAGAAAAATTTTAACAAAGTAGTGATCATTATATTTCTTCCACTGATCGCATGGTGTGTTTCAAAATAACCTTCAATATCCAAAACTTTGCTCAAAGAAAACAAAATTCACTTAATTTTTCTACGCACAATTATTAATGAACTATCGGTAAACGGTTGACAGCTAAAATTCCTATTGCTTCTGAAAGCCTCATCTTTTTTTCAGACTTTTTGACGATATCAAAAAAAAAATGAACGACGTATTTCATAAAATTACTTTTCGCTTAGTCGTTAAAATTTGAAAGATAATTTCTAAATTTAAATTTAATTATATTGATTTATCTTTCGAGCTATCTAGTAGTATTTGTATTACCTAAAGATATTCTTGATGAAAGTTTTAAAGAGTAGCACAATGTCATTAACTATAACGATAAGTTTAATAAAATTCTGACATTCGATATTCATATCAACTTTTGTTTTTTTTTCTATTCAGTGTTCCTGTTATTGTTTCGTGTAATCCACGTGCAAAATCACTCTTATAATGTGGTTCAGCTTTTTGTAAGAAAGGTTTTATTAATCTACTTGTTAAAGATTCACAAGCAAACACAAGTATGTTTTGAATTTTTTTTGTTTTAAATACAAGAAAAATAATCTTTGTTCTATTTTTTCTTTTTCATATTTAGGTTCATCAAGTGATACAAATGCAAGTATAGAACAAGAACGTTATTTTGATGCTATTGTTAAATTAACACTGACAAAAATGTCATTTTCATCAGATCTTGGTGATGATGATGAACCTGAATCAACTGATATAATACCATGATCTATTCAAAAAACAATACATCATTCAACAACAATTCGTTTACAAAGTTTTTTACCAACATATATTATATATGATCGTTCACGAACAAGTAAGTTTGAAAAAAAAAGAACAAAAGAATTTCTCTTTGGTTTTAGTTTGCTTGGTGTACCACTATTTCGCCAATATGACTTTCGCCAACTGGACATTCGATAATTGGCGAAAGTCTACTGTACTTTCGCCAATACATCCCCTGGACTTTCGGCAATAGATCCACTGGAGTTTCGCCATTTGTCGAGAGTTCACCGCATTTTCACCAGTGTACCTCCTATAATTTTACCGATTTGATTGTAACTTCCATGTTTGTCCTGGAAGACAATAAAAATCAAGAATAATCTTTCTAGATCATGCATACTAAACCATCCCTAAGGTCTATCATCAGATCGAAATTAAGTTTTTCTTAATTTTTTTTACATATTATTCTCGCTTTTTCTTATTAAAGCCATGCGTCGGTCATGTTCGAATGAATCGTAATGGAACGCAAACAGATATACTCTGACATCTTAAGTTTCCACATGGAATCCAGGTGTATATTGATTCCTGAAAACTCCCTGGACTCGCCATTGGCGAAATTCGGGAATCCCTATAAAATGACCATAGTCCAATTTTGTCCATTTTTTATATCTAATTGTATCAGCCTTTTTTTTTTTGTTTATCCTATTTTTTAATACATCTGCTTATTGCTTTATCTGAATGAGCTTTTACTTTGTCTATGATATTTTTTACGATAAAATTTAATTTATTGTTGTTATTGTTTTCTATTTTAGCTAGTGTTAGTGTTCATTCAAATCTTGATACATTACCGAGAAGTGAAACAGCAAGTTATACATTAACAGATTCATCAACACAATCATTATTAGCAACAAGTGGAGATGGCGGTGGTAATGATGGTACCGGTAATAGTGAATCAACAAATTTTGATATGAGTTTTAATGAATGAATTTTACCTATCCACAAACGTTCACCACTTTATATTATGGCTGATCGTACTCAATATCGTGTAATTTAAATTTGATTGAATTTAATTCAGTGCAATTGAATGATAGAAGGAATCAATTGTATAAAAAATTGGTTACATCGAATATAATAGACTCTATTTAATAATGTCTAGATTAGTCAATATAGAAATCTTTTAAGGAACAACTTCTAGGCGTGAAATTTATTTTTTCGATTGAGATAATATTCATTTGATGTATATATAGATATGTCTAGAATAATCTTAGCTTATTGAACTATTGTTCTTGTAGTATCGAAATTTTAATGAGTTTTTTGTCCGCTCAGGTTATATGAAAAATCGATTTTCGATTTCGAACGGTGCACTAAAAAAAGATTTTGAATGAGAATTACTGATTGTACAAATATTAACGTTTCTAATAGATGTGTGAATATGTGAACGAAATTTGATGTTATATGTATAAAAATTTCGAATATGGAATATTTCAAGAAAGGACATACTAGAAAAGTTACAACTTACCAAATGAACTCATCGTAATTGAGACATTTTTCGAGCAAAAATCTTCAGAAATAAAAACTCTATGCATTTATCTATTATCGAAAAAAAAAAATTAGTCGATAAAGTCCAGTCAATAGTAAACCGGAACAAAAAAGCTTTTAGAAAGAAATCTTCAGGACACACTGTAGAAAAATGCGTTGAATAATAAACTATATCAAATTTTCATAAACTCTTGTATGTTTATAAAGATAAGAAACATTTCAAGAGTTTAAAATACTGATTTCAACTCTGAAAAGCATACTTACTAGTTCTCTGAATAAACTACAAGTATCAAAAGACGACTCAGAATTCGAGAGTCGATTTAGTTGACAGAAAAGTCATTGCCACCATTTTTGTGAAACAAATTAGTACTGATTCATTCTGATAAATGTTCAAATGAGTTAAGAACAGAACCAATAGAAGAACAAGGGTTTCTTTTTCTTTTAATATTAAATAAGCCATCGATTTACGTGATGTTTTATTTTAAGTAAATAGTTTCTTAAAAGTGTCTAACATGACTTTTAATGATGATTTATTTTAAAAATGTTGAAGAAAGCATACATGAGAAAGCGCTGCATTGATCAACATAATCATCTCAATTTCAAATAAAAGAAAACTAGTTATATAATTTTCAATGAATTGTCATCAATATAGCAGTCTATATCACTGCCTATGAAACCTTTCCGACTAAATATCATAGTATAATCAATACTTCGTACACCGGTTGGTAATGGAAACGAATCTATGAAATGACACCATCCTGGATGAGACGTCGTGCAAGCTTTTTCTCCGGAATCCACTGTGCTCAATATAGAAGAAGCTGATCGAAACATCAAGCTAACTTGAACCAGATCATGGGGTACCAAAATTTGGTTGTAAGTTTGATAGTAAAAACTTAATTCCGCTCTGAGAAAGCCGGCATCAAGTTGACTTTCCGTGAAACCTTGTACACCACCCAATAGTTTAACATTTTGAACTAATCTTGATGGTGAATCAGGTCCTTCTCCCCCAACAAAGCAAAAAGTTCCACTATGTGGATAATAATTTTCATTGAATTGTCCGTTTGAATCAATCATGACAGGAGAAGGGCCATTTTGATTCCAACCATCAAGTGACCCTAATTCAGCGTCAGGATTTATCAATAAATTTGGTGGAGTCATGGTAGTTGTTGTTGCTTAAGAAGATATAAAAAATAAAAAACTGTTGAGGAAAAACAATCGGTATATTACTTCTACCAGTTGTTGTTGTTGTTGTTGATATATCCGCTAAAGAATAGAATAAAAATAAAAGTTCTATTTTTTTTTTGAACAAGTATTTTTTTTTTAATTGTTTCTTTAAAAAAATCATGCGATTATTTCAACAGGGAAAATATTGTACTTACTATCGATACTACTTAATGTTGCTAAAAATGATAATCAATGAAAAGTTATTAGATATCATAGAATGACAACAAAAAGGAGAAACTATTACTCGCTATTGTTGATTCCATGATTGAAACAATATTTTCATTGTCATCCGTAGAGAATTGCTCACTTGCATTGATCATTGTTATAGCTAAAACCATGAAAGATTGATTTTTTTAATGTAAATTGAAATATCTACAGAGAAAAAATATACCTGTTGTATTAAAATCCGAAGGTACTTTAAATGGAAATAAATAAAATTTCAATTTGATAATATATCCTACTAAGACTCACTAATTGTCATTGTTTCGACTAAATTAAATAAATAAATCAAAATATATTTGCACAGTGATAAAACTTACAAATTGTTGAAGATATTTCTGACGTGACAGCTAAAATACAAACAAGCTTTATTCTATCATATTCTAAGTAGTAATTATTATTTTATTTACTACATACATGTATTGTTCGATGATAGATCAATATTTGCTATATGAATAATAAATCATTATCAATATCGAAGAGTTGAGCGAAATTGATTATCACTTACTTTCAGTTAATTGTGTTGTAGAGGTTATTGTTGGCATAGCTATTTTAAAAAGTTGATTATCAATACTCTGAAGTCTGATTACCAGTTTAGAAAATTAAGGGAGACTGTTCATAATTTTCAGCGAAGCAAAGGATAAACACAAAGTTTTATTACGATTTCATAGCTATATTTGATTATTAAAGGCAGTGCGTTATTGTCTTCTGATTATAAATATTTTCGAAAGAAAAACTAAAAGATATCATTGAAAATTGTGTGTAGATTGTTTTTAATAAATATATGTTCGAAGATTCTATGTTAGAGTTAACTATACGTACACTACATGCGTCAATTTCTTTAAACTTCAGACATTATCTTAGAGCAAGAAATAAGATCATTTGTCAATATCTTTGTTTGTTACATTTTATACATGACAGTTCAGATTTCAAAGTCTAATTAAAAGGAATGACACATTTTCCTTAAAATAAAAGTTTCTATATGTAATATTTGACTATTTGATATGAAATACACACACACATATATATATATTTACAAAACTACCCTCTAATTTGAAATGATGAAGGAACATTTGAAAACGTTAATTTATCCTAATACTTTAAATAGTATTCATATGTGCAATTACTATTGGAATAGCACGAATCAATACTTTTTTTGAAATAAATACTGGTGATATACATGATTCCTTGATAATTTCTTACTTGTTGAGAAAAATATAGATGAAACAGGAGAATGAGCCGAAATATAGAACAACTCTCATCTAGGTCAATACTAAAATTCAGATGATACGCTAGAAAATATTAAAACTGATTGCCAGTTTCGAGAAAGATTCAATATAATAATGATTTTTGTTCCTGTGATCGATGATAATAGACGAAAATAATTTATCAACATGGTTTATAAAAATTTCTCTACTCATGATTTACAGTATAAGACAATCTTCATTTTAATCAAATTATAGATTTCAATGCAATAATAAGCATACGGGTTACTTTTCTAGTTGAAAATGCTTTGCATGTTGCGTTATATCATTATTAAAACTAAATATTGATTTTAAGCAAACTCACTTGTTGTCGTTATTGGTTTGGCTATGATGAATACTAATAATTAGATATCTCTACTATTTAATAAAACTTACAAGTTTTTGTTGTTGATATGTCTAGTATATGAGTGAAATAAAAATTATATAACAAATACTATTTTTTTTAAACTGTGTAAATCTACTTGTTATTAATAGATGTGTCGTCGCTAAAATTAAAATTAAAATTATATTTCATGCAGAAAGAATTATCAAAAATTTATTGCAACTTACTTCCATTTGATATCATAGGCAAACCTGTAGTTGATATTGCTATTGGAAAAATTCATAAACATACATGAAATAAAACAAATATTTTTGGAATTACTCGAACTGTTTGTTGATGATGCTGATGGTACTATAAAAGAATGACACTTTTTCTAACTCAGATTACAATATTTTGCAGTGTTACCTTTGAAAGTGGTGCTTGATAATATCGATTGAGTGAATGCTAAACAAAAAATAAGAAGCATTTGCATATATATAATGGTTAATGTAAGTAACAGCGATTAGTAATGATTATATGAATGCGAAATAATAATTACTCACTTGTTGAAGGCATTAAAGAAGCTAGAATAAAACAGATTGATTGTTATTTCAAAATTAGAAAGAATAACTTCAAAAATACTTGTTTTTCCACTAGATGTTGTTAAAACTGCAAAATGAAATATAAGATATTAAAGTTCAATCAATTACGCAATCATACTTGAAAACAGATTTGTTCGCATTGTAGTCACTAAAATAAGTTAGAACAAAAAAATCTCGATCATCTATTTGCAATCAAACTTTGAAATGCTTTATTATTCTCACTTGTTGTTATCATTCCAGACTGAGTTGTTGATGGATAATCTATAAGTATGAATCTTTATAAAAAATTATTATTATTAAATATGATTCTACTAGATGTTGATATGTTTCTAGTATTTATTAGATAATATGATCACCGCTCACATGTTTTTTTTTCAGTTCTTTCTTAAAGAATATGTGATTACCTATAGTTGTCGACGATGATAGTCGATTGTTCTTTGAACGTGTAACAAGGACCACTGGTACAACGATACTAGTGATGAGCAACAGTGAACCACCAATAATCAGAAGTACTTTGATTATAGTCTTGGATAAAAATTTCGTAACAGCACTTGTACTAAAAACAGGACTCAAAGAAATCAATAAAATCACGAGATAAATTCTACTGAATAGCCGGATTTGTTTGTTTATTGTTTGAAAGAGGATGAACTTGGCGACGGAACCACATTTTGCTAGAATCGATTACAGAACTGGGGGTTGTTGTTGTATGTATTTGAAAGTGATCTTTTATTTTCTGTTATTTATATTTCAACAAGAAAATCCGATAAGAATTATTTTTCATGCATTAATATGAAGTTTTATTATATTCTTGAATGATCTTAATAATGATATCATTTAATAATGTATTCAGCTTAATTTAAGTACTTTATCTTTTACATTTAAAAGCAATTCATTAATTATTCAAGGTACTTTAGATAAGATAAGAGAAGACAAATAATCCCAACTTTAAAGCCATTTGAGTACGATAAAATACTTTTTTTTTAAGTACATTTCAATTTGTTTTGAAACGTGAAGAGAGGCTGGACGATAAATAACAAGGAAAAATAAATCATATGAATTGTATTATTTTGATAGCTAGAACTTCAATTTCCAAAAAGAAGCTATACGATGTCATATGCCTTATTGATAAAAAGACAATCTTAAGTTAAACTGCACCGTTGTAAATATACCAATTTTATTTCAACTTGTGATATGTTTGCATTAAGTCAAAATTATAATCTCTGTGCAACGATAAGTCCATAGTCTATCATTAACCAATGTCAAATGTGAGCTGTCTATGACATACATCGAGCAAGATAGTGAATTTTTAAGATATTTACAATCATAAATGACAAAAAATTTTAAATCGAGAGTATACTCAGCAATATTTGCAAGATTTCGTCTGGGAAGTTAAAAATAGGTAAAAGGGAAGGTGGGTGGATATGAATCTATTTATTATTTAGATGAAATATTGTTGTTAATTCTTATTTCCAAGCGATATTTTTCGATTGTATATAGTTGATATGGTTTAGAAAAAAATTCACAACTTGTATTAAAAGACATGCACTTAGAAAAGCACGCTAACATTTCTTTTTATTTAATTTCAACTATTGGAAAAAGAGTTCTCGATCTATTTTTACTGAAATACAGCATAACGGTGAAGCAGTAATGTTCATAAAAAAAGCAATTACATTTTAGGTTTAACAAATATTTCTTAGGCATATAAGATTAGCCACTGAAGGTGAAGATAACTTTCAGTAGTTTGTAGTCTATCTAATTTGAATTTCCCGTACAGATTTTCTTCACTTGTAACGAAGAAATACTATTTCAAGTCGTTGACAATGTAACCGTCAACATTTAGTCATACAAAATTGAATGTTTTCTGAAGAAAATTTTCTAATTTTGCTTCACTACGAACATATTACTATTTGTCATCGAAGATTGTAGAACATTGTGATCTTTGCATGAAAATTTCGATGCACTGCATAAGTCTATCAATCCAAATGAATAAGAAACAGATGTTTGAGCCTATGTTAACAGTATATGTAAGGTACCTACAAGTTAATATTTTAACACTATTTATTTTTCTTTTTTTGCATGATAGTTGGATGAAGCACGTCTTGTTGCGTTACCGAAAGTGTGTTTCAAATCTAAAAACAAATTTTAAAACATTTCTTGAAAATCAGAACTTTTTTTAATCTATTTTCCTTATGTTTGAAGATGATGACGATACTTTGGACCATTTTCATTTATTTTTTTTAATCCGTTTGTTTAAGTTTGAAACTCACTTTTTCTTATGTAATGTGACTAGCTCTATCCAACCATCATGTAAAAATAAAAATAATGAGTTAAATGTTCGTTTTGATTTTGACCCGAATGTGTCTAATATTCTTTAATAATAGTATAAAACCTTTCATTGTAAGTTAAAATGATAGAAAAATGGTATCCTATGTATTAATATTAAGAAACACGTTCACATGATCTATCTTGAGTTAGTTGAGAAATGGTTTTTATACATTAAAAGTGAACTATAATGTTTAGCTTGATAATAGAGATATTTATTATACAGAAGTTGAAAAAAGTCTCCTTCTTTTTGCAACAGGTCTTAGTTTCCATACTTGAAGGAAGTCTGTAAATTAGTGTGCACATACTTCACCAAGAATGTAAACCTGAATAAGCTGTCTATTAAATTTTGCGTTTCCTTTTAGCAAATACATGACTAATGTTTGATATTTTATTTGCAACAAAAGCCTAGCATATGATCTTGCGTCACTCAAAAGTTTATGTAACTTATTGCAATATTTCTGTCTCTGAATGTCTTTGAGCCTTCAGCACCAAGACCATGATTATGGACATACCATTTTCCTCTTGTAGAAGATTCCTCACTGAGACTTGTGTGCAATAATGTTCAGCTACAGGCAAAGCTTTCCTAGTATGTTGAGCTTGATTCATTGAAGTATAACTCACTAACAGTTTACAAATGGCATCACATAAGACCTTTAGTACCTATGGTAGCTAAAAACTTGTAGGGATGAAAGAAACTATTATCCACTACTACATATAATCAATAGAAATGTTCCTTTTGTTCTTTAACTGTAGTTTATTTATCAGAAAATTTTTCATAAAAATATGACAAGTAACATCGGCAAAATAACTTTAAATAAAAATAGATTATAGGTTCAATCTTTTATTTGATTGTTCAAATAAATAAGTAAATAAATAAATGAATAGATAAATAAATAGATAAATAAATAAATAAATAAATAAATAAACAAATAAATAAACATGGAAATTATTTCTCCAAACCCATAATTGACCAATCGATTAAACCTTTTTCTTGTGACGTTTTATATCTTGGAATATCAGATTTTGATAAAACAGTTAATTCAACTTGATTC